AGCACCCATATTTTTACAGACCAATCGGCACTCGGTGGGTAATGTGGTCAGCATTACGCCGACCGTCTTTACTTTCCCAGGACAGCCCATCCTGGTACCCCCATATAGTTGACTCTCACGACATACTTGCTGGGGAGACTGTTATTAAGGGTGTAGAATTACTAAGATCTGTATTCAACAGTTTTGAAAGTGTATTAATTTATTTTCAGATTAGATACTGACGTCTGTACTTCAATGAATAATTTGTGTACTGGGTGGATATGGTCAGCTGCTGGAGTACTGAGTACTTTTTTCCCACTTCAAACTCACAATTCAGACTTTATGGCTACCAGAAGCCAGTCTAGAGATTTATTACACTGTTTTAATACAAAATTCACATAACACTTTTATTAGCTATAATGACTAGCAGCCTTGAATTGAACTAAAGGGCTAAAACTAGTTAAGCACACAATAATCAATTTACATGCACCCACCTGCATTACCTGTACAGCTTTCTCTTTGACAGGTTTAATGAAAAAGCAGAAGCAATAAACAGCCTAAACAAGAGGTGAAACTCAAAGGCTAAACAGAGAAAGGTGGAGGAAAATTATATATATATATATATATATATACACACACACATACATACACACACACACACACACACATACATATATATATATATATACACAATACTGAAATAAAATACTAAGACATCAAGATTAACCACAAAGAAGCCCTCTAACAAGCAGCTACATATCAGCAGAATGTTGTGGTAACCATGTTTAACATGCAGTAAATGTTACTTTTTAGTAATGAAACACACATTTTTACAACTTCAAAAATATATTTATCAAGTGTGAAAGGTAAGTTGAAAACACAATTAAGAACAATTTAATGTGTTCATACAGCATTTTACAGACTTTTAACTGGTGAATTTTCACAAGGTTACATTGCGATTTACTCTCTGTATTAACAGAATTATTCTAAATATTCTCAATATGGTTATGCCTTAACTTTTTTTTCCACGCCCTACTCTAAAATATTTTGAAACATGTTAACACAGCAGCGAACAATGTTTATACATGCAAGACAGCAGTTTTAATAGTTCTTCTTTTCAATGGGAACATACACATGGTGCTACTATGTTTTCTGGTATTTCCTACTTATGCCTAGTAGTTCATAGAAAAGCTTTCAGGCTTCTAAGTTCTTTGTCAGGTGTAAACAGACATTAAAAAGCACAATTATGAAACCCTCTCTTCCACTTGCCATTTTGTTAAGTGCTGCTTATATAATTATTTATCTGTCATGGCAGTGACCAAAGCAATAACATGGCTGAAGACACAGACTTCTTCCTGTGCATGCTTTCTCAGTGACTCAATGAGCGTACTCAGGAAGAGAGAGAGTGGCTGGATCCAAAGACAATGGTTGGAGTCTCTAAATTGGTCAAGACTGACAGTTTCATATTTGTGCCAGGGTACGCAGGTGTGCAGGGAAATAGATAGGTTGATCGGCTTGCTGATAAAGCTACTGTGGAGGATGGATAAGCTGTGCTGATATTCTGAATGCTTTACAAGTAGTAAGACATTTGCCAGAACCAAGTGATGACTGTGAATCAAGATTAATGTCACTATCTGGCTGGGATTCATCAAAGACTGATCAGAATGCACAGTTCTAGACCTTTTCCCAGATCATTTGCTACAGAAAAATACCATAAAAATGTTTTTAACTCAAAAAACTTATGACAATTCTAAAAGTGACCAAAAAGCCATGCCGAGCTTCGAAAACAAAAGGACTTTGTGTCGCTAATTACAGTTTTTCAAAACATGTTCCAACAAATTTGTTTTCACAGCACACAAAAAAACAATATTAGAATGTCTCTATGATGCACCACTAGAGTGGCAAAAGTCAGAAAGGAGTGGATTGCAAAAGTCACTTAGGTGGTCAAAAGTTCGTAAAGAGTTAAGCAACTTTTGAAGTATATAAGCTACGATCATCAACATGGTCACTTTGCAGTGATTAAAAAGTGGTTCCTCTTTGGCTTGGATTACAGGGTGGACACATCAAGTACAGCTGCTTTCTTTGTGAATGGGATAGTCCTGCACGACATGATCATTACATCAGAAGACGTTGGCCAATCAGGTGGTCATTGTGTGCCTGCATGTTGCATGTCTAGGAAAAAGCAGCATGGCTAGCATTTAAGTCTTTGGCGGGCATACATTTTCTTGTAAACAATAGATCTGATAATTACAATGAGATTGTAGAAAATCTCTTTCTGAAGTATGAGAGTCTTGTCTGCAACATGTCTTTGAACATTCCTTTTCTTCAATCTCATCTGGATTTCTTTAGGTCAAACTGTGAAGCTTCAGTGATGAACATGGTGAACGCTTTCATCAGGACATTGCTGCTATGGTGACAAAGTTATTAAAGTAACTGAAGCCCTTCAATGCTTACTGATTACTGATAAACTGTGACGAGAAACCTCATTGACTGACTACAAGAAGCAAGGAAAGAGAGCTTGAAAAGAGCCTGAATAATGACGGAAAAGTTTCAAATGTTCTTTTTTAAAACATTTTATGTGAAGTTTAAATATTTTTTAATTTATAGTTTCTATCGTTTTATGCTGAATTATCTATTAATTGAGTATGCAACAACAATTTTTAAGGAGCTAAAATAGAAAGACTGTTTACTCCAGGGATTTAGACAAGCATACCTTATTTCTATTACTGTAATGTAAATTTGTCATTAAAAAAAATAGAGCCAGGTGGTAAATTTCATTAAGATATTTTAAATCATCATGTCAAAGTCAATCAGAAATTATGTATTTAAACTGATCTTAAAAAACACACACACAAATTTATTGACCAGTCTAATTATTAATGGTACGAGATAGATAATCTCTAACTGAATTTCTACATTCCCTATCATTATGATGAGGTTGTGCTATAAACCTCTGCAAAAACGCCTTCCCCTTATCTTTCTTTGCCTGGTGTCATGGGTATACCAGGATCTGAATATATATAATGCCTACTGTGATAGGTGGATCCTTTCTTTTCATCTGCCTATGAAGTTTCCATAACCTGCCCAACGATCTATCCACTCCAATTTCATTCATAACATTTTCCAATTTAGTCATTTTTGCATCTGCTGCACACCACTTGAACTCTTCTACTTTTTGACACTTTCTGTAATTGTTTAACTGCTGCCCTCTTTTTTTGTTCATGCCTGTTCAACTTCTTAGGTCGATCATGAAGGCTGCACCAATGCAGAAAGGGTCATTCTGTTACATACCTTTTGCCGAAGGCCTCCAAGAAGGGAACTGGTCCTCTCATTCTTAGAAGTCTTACGCGTCCTCAAAGCTCTTATCTTGTTAGCTTTGGAAACCAAGACTGAGTATGGTGTTCAAGACAGACACTGACAGAGAGAAAATGACTGAGAGGTGGAATTAAAGTCAATTAGCCACTGAAGAGAACAAAATGTTTTGGGGGAGCAATATTATCTTATCTATAATGAGAGATCTCAAAATCACTTACAATAAATAATTCTGTACACTTTATAATTCAACCATTCAAAGCATATATTATCTAAAATCTTTAGATTTCCCCAGCAACAGATAACTAAATTTATAATAATAAGATGCTTGTACAATTAAGACTAAAACCAATTTTAGGATTATAACAATCCTACAATTCTGAGCAAAAGATAAAATTATATGTTGTGATATCATTTCCCTAAAAAAATAAATACAAGCAACTCATCAATTTAAATGCACCATTTATTTAATCAAACAAGACAGGATCTTTTCATTCTAAACTACAAGGTATCATCCATTATTAGTGCTTATATTTGTCATTTTAGCAGCATTGGCAGAGAGGTCTCTGAGACTGAGGATTAAAGCAGCATAGATACTGCTGCTACCAAGGACTGTGCAGGTAGGAATTGTATCTTTGCCCATGACAGAAAAACCTGTAACCTTATCTAGGAATTGAACTGGACCTCCTTCATGAGAGCTAAGCATTTTTAACCATCTGACCAGACACTCCTCAAGGTTTCATTATTAAAAATTTTATGAAATAACATTATTTTACAATATGATAAGAGCAAAAACTTATATGTCTAGTATTACATGGAACAAATTTTCATCATCCTGTAACTCTATGTGTCGTTGGGTCACCAAATTTCTGTTGACTGATCAGCTCTCCACCTTTGGGGGACATTTGCGATGGACTTCACGATTGCATGCCTGAGGTCTGTCTAGTCAGTCAGGTTTTTGTAACCAGGTCTTTTTCGGTCTGCCTTTTCTTCTATTTCAGTCTATTAGGCCCTGCAGTATTGCTTTTGAGAGGCTGTTAGATCTTATTACATGTCCATACCATTGCATTTTCTGCCTTTTCACTGTAGTTAAAAGAGGTTCATAGTTGCCAATGTGCTGTATAATTATATGGTGAACCTCTGTGTTTGTAATGTGGTCTCTGTATGACATGCCAAGAATTTTTCTGAAACATCGCATTTCTAATGCTGGTATCTTCGTTTCAAGTTTTGCTGTTGCGGTCCACATTTCACAGCCATATGTGAATGTACTAACAGCTAGTACTCTGAGCAATCGAGTCTTAGTTTTGCATGAAATGTTTCTGAATCTCCATTATGTTTGCTGCTTGGCAAGGACTGATAATAAGGTATATTAATTCCATTCTACTAATCAGTCTGCTGACAAAGCAATTACAAAATCATGAAAACAATAGCAATAGCACAAAATTCTTGGATAAACATATTAGCTGTCCAAAAATACATCTTAGCCACCTTAACTAAAAAATTATATACAGACTGCATAACTAAACCAATGTGATAATGATGTCAGGATTAATGAAGTTTTATAAACACAAATGTTTTTTTAAACAATAATATTTTTTCATTCAAAATCTTGTTAAATATTAGTATTAAACACAGAACAGTATGCTACACAATATAAACCTTCCACATCACCTTGCAGCAACAAGAGTTTTAGAAAGGCTGATATTTACTTATAATGTGCCTTCATATTTTGCCACATTTGCTCTTAGCTGGGCATTCTCTTTCTGGAGTTTAGTTACCTCTTCACGAAGACATGTATTCTCTTTTTCTAGGAACGCAGCTCTCAAGGCAATCTGGTTTTCCTTCACACGACGTGCATCGCGGGAACGTCTTGCTGCAAAATTATTCTTGTTTCGACGAGCCCAGTATTTGTCGTCCTTCAATTCCTCTGGGACAAACATCTGAGAAATATGTTTTAGAAAGCACATATAATTATTTCAAAACTAATGCTAGGCTGTGTGGGTATGTGCATTTGTGGAAGTAAGGAGCCAGAATTAGTATGTCTAACAGTTAACATTTATGACATTCTTTCAAGTGCAGAACTTCTTGTATTTAGATATCTATCCCTGACATATTCTTTTGAAACATTTTATTAACAACACTCAACAGAAAAGATGCAACTGCAAACAGAATGATCTTATATATAGACTTTCAAGCTAACATAAATATCAGCTTATGGTGCTATTGTTCCAGCATTAGCAACATGGTCAAGGTTAAACAACTGCTATCTATATGATAAAAAATAAGAAAACTCTTGAGAAAATAGTGATAGAATATATATGTCTCACTCTATCTGTGGTGCCCCCCCCCCCCCCCCTTACCCCTTTAATGTGACTACACATGTAACTTTGAACATTAGAGAAACTTAAGAATATCCCTTTTGTCACTTTTCCAGTGTGTGCCCATTAAAGGTGGCCTGCACCAACTTCAACAATCTTCGTTTGTACAACCTATAGGTCATTACTAATATCATGGAATCAACACATCGCAGTAGACTCTCAAATATTTCCCAGAGACCAATAGGAAAGGCTGAACACAGCTCACATTCATCTTCAACAGAAGTTTTCTTATCAATGTAACAATGCATCCAGGCTGTATGTCTCCAGTTTCTAACAACATATTAGGAATGTTCACAAGATACCTCAAACACACGCTCTGACTATATCATCAAGTTGCATTACTCACTGTCACAGCCAAACTCCTGAGAAATACACTTGTTTACCGCAAACTTACTGCAACTTAAACTCATGCTGGTCCTCCTCATATCACCATACATCTGCTATGCTGCACCAAACAGGCTTTTTTATCAAGCTGATCTTCTCTGCTTCCTTCACTCTGGTACAGTCTTGGAACGCACAGGCCCACAATCCACACTAAATTCTTTGCACAACCCAATTCCCCAAGTGTCCCCCTCTTACTAGTTATCTTTCTTCTTCACTTGCAAGCATTAGGTGTTCAGCTTAACATCATTCCCTCATACATTTTCCTCGTGTTACCACATTTCCTTTCAGACTTTAGCTGTTAATCTGGATGTAACACTTAGTCTTATGACATGACATCCTAATTTTGTTAGGATTCCCTGTCTTGGCCAATGGCCAATTAAATGTCTTTATTTGGTATCTAAAAGTAAATCTTAATTCCTATCATTATATGGCTTTAATGCAAAAAATTTAGCTTCACTTAGAAAAGCTTGGCAGGTTACTGTCCACAAATGGAGGAGATAAGTTCAATGCAGCAGTTTTCGCCTTTGAAGTCTTTCAGATGACAGAAGAGACTTGCAACCACACTAGCCTTAGAGAATATATGTATAGCAGATAAGCATTTGACTATCTGGTGCACACAGTTCTCCAACTGGTAGTATCTCCCTTTATCATCCATTAGCTAGCTACAGCACTGATCTAGACGGGACTCAGGTGTGGTGGGATAAACATTTGTCCAGGTTTGCCTCTGTCACCAGTTCTATTCAGTTACGCGGTGTTGATATCTGGGTAACACTTGAACGGCAGTGGTAGAACTCTGTTACTTGCTGATGGTATCATTGTGTATCGACATAATAAGAGATCACCGGCAGACTGCTGATGCAATTCCAAGTGAACTTGACTGTATCTCCTCCTGGTGTGTGGATTGCAATGTACCTGTCAACCCTTCAAAGGCCTCAGTAATGCGGTTCTCATCGTGATAATGATAAATTAGTTAAATCATCTTTTTTTCTTTGCATACCATTATTGCTTTTAGTTAGCAGAGCATTGTTGTAAGCAAAAGTCACCGTGGTGTGTAAAGAGTTGGTGAAACCATGGCTACACACTGACACTCATCATGTGTTGATAGGTTGTGAGTGTAAGCATTTGAGCCACTTAAAATTGTGAAACAGAGGTTGCTTGATATTAACCGGTAACTGCAAACACCCTGAGCTGTTATATGTTATGAGTTAGATTATCTTCACAGCACTCCGGATACAACCACAGGCGCTCAGATTCCGCTCTCAATATATTCATCAGCGTCATGCGGTTAATAGTGCCTGTCCTATGTTGGTTAACAAGACTTTGTGTGCTTCCGGTGTGCTTCTCCTGCTTGGCTGTGCCAATCTTCACTCCCAATTCTCGTATTCTTAGCAGTGATGTGGACATGTTGCTTCCAAAATCCTCAGAAGGTCCTATCTCTCTAGGGGCAATGACAATGTCTGCGTGATTCATGGGCAGGCCATCTTCAATTAATGCAGCACCACCTGCCAGTCTTATCAGCTCTTTCATTACCAACAACGCCTGCATGCACTGGGACGAATATGAAGCTAACTGCACACACAGGAGAGTTTTGCAATGACTCAAACCACTGTCTGCGTAACCAGCCTACCTCGAACCGCCCGATCACGCTCAAAGAGTCACTCAGCACACACACAGAGGAATAGTCCTCTGATTCTAACCACATGAAAGCTTGTGTCACCGCCATCACCTCCATCGTCATGCTGCTGGTAGTCATGGAGAAGGCACTGCTGGCTTCTTAAAACTCTTCTGCCTGAAGAGCGAGCCATAAATACCCATGCACTCTTATGTCCTCAAATAAAGGACCTGTCTGTTAAGATCACCACATCAGTCCCATCTGACTTGTTACTGATAAGGGCGTATACCTCAGCACTGACAGCAGCTGGATTCTGTTCCCGACAACTTCTATCAAGCGTCACGACACAGGAGAATGTGAGATTGGGTGCTTTAGATGCTGGTTTCCATTCATCACCTGGATGGATATCTGTAAGGCTGCATACCTGCATGATGTCATCCTCTGTCCTACCCAGCCATGATTTGCCCCTTTGAAGCCTATTGCCCTTTTTCATGTGGTGCAAAGGGTGCTTCAGATTTGAGCTTATCTTGAGGTATGCATGAGCCTCCAGATCTAGATCCTGTAGTTCATGGTAGGGAAATCAAGAAGGTACCTCACTGCTACACAATAGGTGTCTCCAGTGCACCCCAGAATAATGTGCTTCGTTTTGCACCTGCTCAAGTCTTTCAATCTGAGTATGGCTGACAGTGAGGATGGCTACAGCATATTCAATGGGAGAAAATACGGGTCCCTGAAATAGAAGCAGAAGCAGTCTCTGCTCAGTGTTAGCGGTGGCCAGGACCCTCACTGCTAAGAGGCCTTTGCATGCTTTTGTTATAACATGGTCAACAATTTCCTCGCTGCTTTCCACTGCTGGTAAGTTTGCCGTCACTATATGCATGTTCAAGTAGAACCACGTTACTGAGGCCTTTGAAGGGTTGACATGAGCATTAGAATCTGCACACCAGCAGGAGATGTGATCAAGTTCACTCTGCATTGAACTGGCAATCTCTAGAAGATCTCTTCCATGTCGTAATCAGCAAATGGCAAGGTCCTGCCACTCGCATGCAACTGATGCTCAGTTATCAGCACTGCGTACACGAATAAAACTGGAGACAGCGGAGAACTTGAGGCAATCCTGGACTGATGGTTATCAGTTCTGAGGACCAAGAATCCCACCTGAGTATCATCCGCCTCTGAAACAGTGATGCGGCTATCCGGCGGATGATGAAGGAAGATACCTGCAGTTGGAGAAGTATGTGCACCAAGTATTCAAATGGTACTCTATTGTGTAGCCACTCCTCTCTGATTTGACCACTTCTGATGCTGACGTTGAACTCTTCTGCCAGTTCTGACATATCGCGTCCTCTGACATCTGCAGCACATCAGCATACTGGATGCCGTGGTGGCCTGGTGAAGTAAATTTCTTGAGTGTTGTCCATACGGTCTTAATTGTAATACTGAAATCTTCACTTGGCTTTGCTTTTTCACACAACTCGGGAAGTCTTGACTTAACTCTCAGTCTGGCTGCCTCATCATTCTGGTCGGTTCGGTCCAAGTAGCACTGAAAAAGAGCTTGTCATTTATCTGCATCAGATTTCTGCCATGTCAGATCTGCACTTTGAAAGTATGGGGTACTCTGACGTCATGTGGTGCCATTTATCGCCTGATGAAGTTGCCAAAATGTGGCTAGAGACCCTTCAGAGCACACCTTACAGTAATCGTCCCATTTCTCATTCTTGACCTGCTTTCTGCATAGCTTGAAAAACATAATTGACTTTATCTTTCAGGTCACTCAGGAGCTCAGACTGCCACGTGCTACTCTTCCTGGCCTTTTGCCATACCTTGACTGCCTGCCTTTTCCAACCATGCCCTTTCAACCTCTTCATTCCACCACGGTGACTGAGTCAATTTCTTTTTCTGTCAGCAGAAGGTATTTACTTTGCAGGGCCTAACTTTGCTGATGGCATCTTGTACTTTGTCATCATACTAGAAAGTATTTATTCTGCTTCTCTGACTGCCTTTTCCACTCTTCTCATCCCTGAGTTGTGTGGGGAAAGTGAGATCCACATTTAGCTGACCCATATTGGCGGGAGCGCATGGTAGCTTAAGTCAGTCACCTAAGTCTAAGTGTGTGGATGTGTGGGCGAATTGTGTAAGTTCCTTTTGACAGCATTAACAATATATTTTATGAGCTTGGAATCTGTCCAATGAAGGTGGTGGAACATCATTTGTACTTCTAAATGCTGTCAGTGTGATTTCCTAGGATGGACAGTTGTGTCGGCCTATGTGTGGGTTTTTGGGGTCAGCAAAGTTGTGTCTATGTGGCATGCTGGTTGACAGGGTGTCTTTAAGCGCTACAGAAGGTGCTGTAGTAACTTTATGAAAGTTCACCAACGTGCAGCTGTGATGGCGAGGTATTAGGAATGATGGTAGGCGGAGGGTGGTCTCTTAGTTAATATGGACTGCCGTGGTTAACTGGAGGTTTATCAGTGCTGCGTCAACAAGTGACTGTTTAGCAGAAAGGAAATCTAGATTCTTTTCACCAAGTGGTGCATCCACCTTTCGGCTCTCGGGTGACAGGGTC